ATTTTCGTCCGTTTCAAAAATATGCTCTTTTTCTGTTACAGAAATAAAAACACTAGGTACACAAAGTGTCCTATCTCAACCTTCCCAGCCAAACAAAAAACTCTTCCCTGCTACGCATGCCTATTTTTTAATAAATATTATAGTTTACTCAAATATCTGAATACGATTGTTACCCATATCAGCGATAACAATTTGCCCAGTAGCAAGAACCGCTGAAGAAGTTGGATGATTGAATTCTCCTAAATCGCCACCTATAGTTCCAAACTTACTGACAAATCTTCCATTCGGTTCAAACTCCTGTACCCTGTTATTATTTGCGTCACATACCATCAGGTGTCCTGACTTGTTCACTGACAAAAATGCGGGATGATTTAACTCCCCATCCCCTCCACCCCTCTTTCCAAACTTGTACTTAAAGTTTCCATTCCTGTCATAAACTTTAATACAATGTTCATTTTGGTCCGACACTATGAGATATGTTTTGTACTGGACACAGTGGATAGGACAAGTAAAAGCCCCTTGTCCACCTATCTTCATTAAAAACGTGCCATCAGAAGAAAAGACCTTAATTATTTTGTTGCCTGTATCAGCAACAATAATGTTTCCATCACTGTCTACCGATAAGCCCATAGGAGAATTAAGCTGACTATCAAGGTTTCCTTTCTCACCAAAACTGCCCACGTACTGACCCGTCTCATTATAAATCCTGATTCTGTGGTTACCATGGTCTACCACGAGAATATTACCATTATTATGAAATGCTATTCCTATCGGATATTTAAACTCTCCCGCCTCGTCACCTTCTCTACCAAATGACTTTAAGTAATTTCCATTCTTGTCAAAAATTTGAACTCTGTGGTTGTTAAAATCAGTTACAGCTATTTCATCCCTAACATTAACTGCTACCCCCCAAGGAGAACTACACTTTCCTACGGAAGAACCTTCTTCGCCGAAAGACGACACAGCTTTGAACTGAAATCGTTTTTCTATTTTAGTAAAGGGGCCGTTTTGAACATGTTCTCCGTTTACCTTTACTGTTACTTTAAACCTTCCTAAATCTCTGGGAGAACAGCTGATCTGATAGAGTCCATCTTTATTGTCATTTATTTGCACTTCCGTCATGCATTCTCGTCCTTGTTCGTCCATGATCTCCACCGTTACGTGGTCATGTTCATTGTAACACTGTCTTCCTTCGGCGTCTCTTGTAATCAAAGTAAACTGTGCTATATGGTTAGCAGTTCCTTCTTCAAGCCCTTTACCCACAGTAACCGACTGACTTGCTTTTGTTTGGTGTCTTACTCGCAAAGATCCAATTCCTTCGCCCTCAAAAGAGTTCAACAGCTCTTGATTTTTCACAAAAGCTGACAAAGGAGGCTTGTTAAGGGGGTGGACCACCAGTTGCTCTCGATCATCCCGCTGAAATATTGTCTTCAGTGATTTCATCAGTCGAACGACTTCGGCGTTTGTGCTTCGTATCATCAGTTTATTAGCTTTCTCCAACGATGATTCGATTAACTCAATTTGACGTTCGACCTCCGTCTTTTGCCCTATAATAATTTCGAGCGATTTTCTCGTTTCTCTCTCCACTGCTTCAAAAATAGCTAGTTTCTTCGCTTCAACAGTTTCAAGCAAATTGTCCACAAACCCTTGTACTTCTCGCTTCAAGTCTTCTCCTCTTTGTATCACTTTTGTGTAATCTTTGTCGAGTTGTCCTACAATATTTAGTTTTTTTTGTAAATCACTCACCTTTGTTTCTATTAGTGATTTCATTTCCATCTTTTGTTTTTCAGCTTCTTCGTCAAGGTGCACTAGGGCGTGACCCGCATGATCTATCAAGGAACAGCTTTGGCAAGCTGCCGTAGTACAATTCTTGCAGAAGAAAATCAGTTCTTCTTTCTCATGCCACTGTTTCGAGCAGTACATGGGTAGTTTAATCACATCCTCAAAGTCCTTTTCTTTAAAATCTTTAAGCGCCAGAACACGGTGATCTTTGTTGATTTGCATGCTGTTGTGTCCAATGACGCATTCTTTGCAAAAAAATATGCAACATTGGAAACAATAAGATGTCTTAAAGCTTTTCTTTTCACAATTTCCACAAGGTACTCGACGTTTCTTACATTCTTTAATGGCAAACACATCAATCAGGCTGTTCAGGTAAAGACTGGTCGGTAAATCTTTCAAATCGCCACTTTCCGGCAGTTTGTTTAGTGCTTGACATTTCGGACATCTGATTGTGTCTTGGCCACGGCTTGTTCCGTGCCACTGCTTCAAGCATTTCAGACAGAAATTGTGTAAACATTGAAGCTGTTTTGGATCCGTGTATATGCTAGTGCACACAGGACATGACACTTCTTCACGAAGATCTTGGAGCACTGTTTTGATATCCATTTTGTTCATCAGATGTGAGCGAGGAGAGCAATTATTTGGCAGAAATCAGCTTGAAACGATGACGCCTTGTGACAATCTTTTTTTAGCTTTTCAAAGAACTAGCTGCTAATTATCATAATAGGCTCAGCTGAGCAACCAATCATGTAAAGGAAGATGCTTGTGTTATCTCAGACTCTTTAATCCAGTGTTGTGACCTTGACATTATTGAACCGCTGATTAAATCAAAACACACATGCATTGTTTGCGTTCCAGACTAACCACAACATCAACTTTTCAAAACAACGTCACGAAAAATTTACTTCTAACTCTTTTTGAGTTGTTATGGAAAATGTCGAATCATTCCTAAAGCGCTAAAGGGACTAAGTACGAGTTTGCGCACAAGTCTCTTTAAAATTTTCTCTGAAAATTTTTCTCTCTTCAAGGAGCATAACTGTTAAAGCCGATCAATCATGTGTTGATTTGGTCTCGTAGCGACGAGCAGCCTCTCAATGGCTGCACTGTCGACACTGGAGGCTAAGCGTGGGGGAACGAAGTAATCGTGCGACAGGCGGTGTAAGAAGCCTGGTGCGAGAACCCCTCAGGATGACTCGCACGCTCGCATCCCTCGCTGCGGGCTTCGCCGGTGATGTCACAGCGCTGTTGAAAGTCTGCTCACACCATGCAGTGAAAATGGCAACTCAACTTTTTTTTCAGATTTATTGTTTACAAGGAGGAACATATGTTTTCCAGCGTTGCAGCCGCAAGTTTGAAAAGTGAGGCAAGTGCTTTGTCTGATTTGGCTTGTTTATCGTTCGGAGTTTAGTAGTGACTTGGACTCTGAAAAATCCAAGTACCTAACGGCTAACCTTTTTTAAACTTCCAACTGACTAATTTTCCAATAAACATTAGAATATCCCTTTCATCGACTTCAACAAATTTAATTTGACCCATCAAGTGTTAATGAAACGAGTAAACACACACTTCTAGAACAGTTGCACGGACCATAAATATTAAATATAAACTGAGTTTAAAATCAAATCAAAATTTCAGATACTGCTTTTGATCTTGAAATGATCCGTGCATCCTTTAAATTGTAAGTAATTAAAATTTTCTCGCGATGGAGTTTTGCATCGCATTTACACGATTCAAATCATATGAATTTATCTGTGTTAGAAGCTATTTACTGAGCTACTTCCACCTC